CTGGGGCGCAGAGGGGTGGGGGGAGCCGAAATACCTTCCTTTAGGCAGGACCGTGTCGGGGAAGGGGGAGGATGGCATCTCCCCGGCGGAGGCACCCCCTTCTCTGCTGCATCTGGTGTTGGGCAAGGCGAAGGTAGTTCGTCAGAGCCATTTGGCACCTGTGGGAGGCAAGATACCGTGGGAACGTAAGCATCTTCTGGTTAGATTTGCTTTGATGACTAGAACCAGAGCCGGTAAGAGTCAAGGGAAAGGTCTTGAAGTCCTCTGACAGCTGAGAGTTTCTCTTGCTCCGCTGATTTTTAAAATGCGAGCTGAACCAGAAATATGCAGGGTTGGAACTGGGCATCGTCCTCATGGCCACAGAGGGATAGTTACGAGGGGTGGAAACCTCGTCTGTGATAAAACAGGGCACTTTTGGTTCTTAAACCTGTGACTCTGCCTCCTGCCAGCATTTCACAGGTCTGGCAGCGTTCTTGGGGGATTCGAGAGCCCTAATCCCCTTTCCACAGGCCCCAAAACAGCTTTGGGATAGTTACGAGGGGTGGAAACCTCGTCTGTGATAAAACAGGGCACTTTTGGTTCTTAAACCTGTGACTCTGCCTCCTGCCAGCATTTCACAGGTCTGGCAGCGTTCTTGGGGGATTCGAGAGCCCTAATCCCCTTTCCACAGGCCCCAAAACAGCTTTTTCATGCTAGTTTGTGGCTAGAAACCAAAATTACTTTCTCAAAGCCTTGAAATTTGCATTTGGCAAGATCCAGCCACCCTTCCCGAGCTTCTCTGGTAGAGAGTGGCCAGACTTTTTATTTATCTTGTTATTTATTTAACTGCAGCATGCAGAACCTTCCCGGTCAGCGTGACAGCACTTGTCACCCAACTCACAGCAAGGAAAGAAGAAACCCATGGGAAGACCTGCGGCTGAGCCTTGACTTCGTTTGGTGCTCTGGGAGCGTTGGTGTTTTGCACCTTAAGCCCCGCTGCTTGCTACCCCACTTCTCTTTTCTAGAAGTATTTAGGGCCAGATTGCTGTGCGCCACCGTAGGAGAAATTCATTTAATTATTGCTGCGGCGTTGATGAAGTATCGTCTAGTGGGGATGTCTGTATGTGCTCGATTTTCTGGCTGCTTAGCTGTGTCCTTTGGGCAGTTCTGAAGACAGACCTCCGATGTACCCGCTTTATCTTTGCTCACCGTGTGAGCAGGCACGGGGGAAGTCGTACCTGTCGGTCTGATAAAGCCAGTTTTGTGAGGAAGAAGAGAGCGGTTTTGGGTCTTTAATGGATGCGGCAGCCACGGTGCCTCAGCACGGGGCTGAGCGGCCGGGGGCGAGACCCCTTTTTCTGTTGCTTTGGGGCTTCCTTTGAGATCTTGACCTTCTCCCATGCTTGCCTGTCTTCTGAGCTGAGAAGGAGGAGCCGGCTTCAGAAAGCTTGAAGGGTTTCGAGAACATTACTTAAGAGAAAATATGCAAGTACACAAGTAAATCTCTTCTCCCTTCCTGGTGGAATAATTGCCATTGTTTGTTTCTCCGGCTAGCGAGGTGTTGGCTAACACGTGTTTCCCACAGGATTTGAATTCTGGTTGTGACAGAGCCTCCGCCGTGTGACGTGTGCGATACGTGACGTATGTTCACCTCAGCTGATCCCTGATGGCACAGGCTTTAAACCTTGGATTTCAGCCCCACCTCTGGGAGACTCGGGGTCTCTCCGCGTGGTTGCCCTCTGCCCCGGGCAGCGTTTGGGCTTTGGGTAGGACCTGGTTCCTTTGCAGCTTCTGGGGAGGACAGGTAGAGCTGGAGATGATGAGAGCTGTGACGTGAGGAGAGCGATCCTGAAATGGGTGCTGGAAGGGCTCAGCCGCCGCGCGTTGGGTGACGTGGCTGCGGAGGAGCTGCCTGTGCCGGGGTCCCACCGTGGCTGTCCCCCCGGAGGCACCCCCTTCTCTGCTGCATCTGGTGTTGGGCAAGGCGAAGGTAGTTCGTCAGAGCCATTTGGCACCTGTGGGAGGCAAGATACCGTGGGAACGTAAGCATCTTCTGGTTAGATTTGCTTTGATGACTAGAACCAGAGCCGGTAAGAGTCAAGGGAAAGGTCTTGAAGTCCTCTGACAGCTGAGAGTTTCTCTTGCTCCGCTGATTTTTAAAATGCGAGCTGAACCAGAAATATGCAGGGTTGGAACTGGGCATCATCCTCATGGCCACAGAGGGATAGTTACGAGGGGTGGAAACCTCGTCTGTGATAAAACAGGGCACTTTTGGTTCTTAAACCTGTGACTCTGCCTCCTGCCAGCATTTCACAGGTCTGGCAGCGTTCTTGGGGGATTCGAGAGCCCTAATCCCCTTTCCACAGGCCCCAAAACAGCTTTTTCATGCTAGTTTGTGGCTAGAAACCAAAATTACTTTCTCAAAGCCTTGAAATTTGCATTTGGCAAGATCCAGCCACCCTTCCCGAGCTTCTCTGGTAGAGAGTGGCCAGACTTTTTATTTATTATAATGCAGCATGCAGAACCTTCCCGGTCAGCGTGACAGCACTTGTCACCCAACTCACAGCAAGGAAAGAAGAAACCCATGGGAAGACCTGCGGCTGAGCCTTGACTTCGTTTGGTGCTCTGGGAGCGTTGGTGTTTTGCACCTTAAGCCCCGCTGCTTGCTACCCCACTTCTCTTTTCTAGAAGTATTTAGGGCCAGATTGCTGTGCGCCACCGTAGGAGAAATTCATTTAATTATTGCTGCGGCGTTGATGAAGTATCGTCTAGTGGGGATGTCTGTATGTGCTCGATTTTCTGGCTGCTTAGCTGTGTCCTTTGGGCAGTTCTGAAGACAGACCTCCGATGTACCCGCTTTATCTTTGCTCACCGTGTGAGCAGGCACGGGGGAAGTCGTACCTGTCGGTCTGATAAAGCCAGTTTTGTGAGGAAGAAGAGAGCGGTTTTGGGTCTTTAATGGATGCGGCAGCCACGGTGCCTCAGCACGGGGCTGAGCGGCCGGGGGCGAGACCCCTTTTTCTGTTGCTTTGGGGCTTCCTTTGAGATCTTGACCTTCTCCCATGCTTGCCTGTCTTCTGAGCTGAGAAGGAGGAGCCGGCTTCAGAAAGCTTGAAGGGTTTCGAGAACATTACTTAAGAGAAAATATGCAAGTACACAAGTAAATCTCTTCTCCCTTCCTGGTGGAATAATTGCCATTGTTTGTTTCTCCGGCTAGCGAGGTGTTGGCTAACACGTGTTTCCCACAGGATTTGAATTCTGGTTGTGACAGAGCCTCCGCCGTGTGACGTGTGCGATACGTGACGTATGTTCACCTCAGCTGATCCCTGATGGCACAGGCTTTAAACCTTGGATTTCAGCCCCACCTCTGGGAGACTCGGGGTCTCTCCGCGTGGTTGCCCTCTGCCCCGGGCAGCGTTTGGGCTTTGGGTAGGACCTGGTTCCTTTGCAGCTTCTGGGGAGGACAGGTAGAGCTGGAGATGATGAGAGCTGTGACGTGAGGAGAGCGATCCTGAAATGGGTGCTGGAAGGGCTCAGCCGCCGCGCGTTGGGTGACGTGGCTGCGGAGGAGCTGCCTGTGCCGGGGTCTCCCCGTGGCTGTCCCCCTCCCGAGATGTCTGCAGTGCCTGTGTTTATCCTCCTGCCTGGAGGAGGTATTCGCCTGCCTTGCCGAGCGCTCCTTCCCCGGTGTAATAACGAGCCCGTGAGCAAACACCGGGTCAGAGCCGTAACTGGGGCTTTTGTTTTCGCCCTGGGCAGAGGGTGGGAGGGCAGCAGGATCGATTTTGGCCGGACCGTGGCGATGCACGGCTTCAGCTTGAATGTCTGACGGCCGTAGCTGTGCCTTGCTTACCTTGCAACCCTTTCAGATGCCAGAGGAACAGCTCTGCGAAAGGCAGGGCACAAAAGGATGCCGGTTGTTGTTTCGGACATGAGGTTTTGCTTTGCTCCGTGGTAAACCTTAAACCACCTCAAGCCCTGCCGCGGCTCTTTGGGGCACTGCCACCCTCAGTGGCCCATGGGGCAGTTTGCCCCGGGGGGCTATTACTCTATTGCTGGCATCATCCAGCGTAGATAAAGAGGATGCAGATGATTTTGAAACCCTTCCTGGGCCAGGCAGGCAGCGGTTCCCCCTCTCCCTGCCTCAATGTGTATTTAACTCTCTGGGGAAACACCCAAAGAGGTTTTCTCGTTTTGCTGCTTTTGCTTTGAAGCAGCATCTGCCAAAAAATGCTAATGTGGGATTTCAGTTGTTTGGTCCTTTGTGCCTTGGGTGCCGCGGCTGCTTTATCATTACGGGTCCGAGTGAGTTGAGAGTTCATTGTCGCCCTGGCTTCAGGCCCCTCCCTGGAGTCCACAGACAAAAGAACTGCTCTCAAAATGGCTCAGTCCCTTCTGGGGACGGGGAAATCATCCCGGCGCATCTGAAGCGAGCGAGAGCAGGGTCCCGAACTGCTGGGCCCTTAATGTAGGTGTAAAACACCCAGAAAGACTCGCCGCCCTCCCCCGCCCAATGCCTGCCAGAGGGACAAAGCTCGCTTGATCCCACCTAGCCGAGACTGGGCGCGCAGGAGGGAAGATGAGTTTATTAAATAGAAACATCTGAATGGCTCATCATCCTCAAGCTTAAAATAGGACTGTCAAATGACTCCAAGTCCCGTCTCCGTTATAAAAATCTCTCTTCTTCCCAACCATCAGCTGTGAAATCTCTGTGGGTGTCGCAGGTTGGTATCGTCAGCCGGGTCCCGTTGCCCAAACTCTCGCCATCCCTTTTGGTGCCGTGGGAGTCGTGCTTGTGTGTGATGCCCACCCCGGCGTGGGGCAAAGCTCCTTTAAGATGGAGACAAAAGATTACCGTGGAAAGAACAAAGGTAGGAGCCAGCTCATCTAAATAAATGACAGATTTGTCTGTCGGAGGGAAGATCGTCTGGCAAAGCGGTAGCTAGAAAGCAAGTGAGAATTGTGCGGTTTTGGGGGGGCACTGATGACCTGGAGTACTATTTCCTGAATTGTAACTGAATTTCCCTTTGGAAAGTAAAAGCCGCTCCTCCCTCTCTCTCTCTCCGCTGTGTATTGTTGACAGGGGCTGCTCGGTGTTTTACTTCTCCTCCCCGCCACCCCCATTAGCCCTGCAGGGTTGAAAAGCCTTTTTTTTTGAGACGGAGGTGAATTAATGCCCCCTGGGCTGCTTCCCTCTGCTCGCCCAGAGCTTCCTTCTCCAGGATCGGGGCTTCCTTTTCCCCCAAACGAGGCATTGTAATTCTTCTTGCCCTTTCTTGATTACTATGTAATAGCGGTGATTAAATGTATTATCTCGCCGCATCCCCACGGACTCTGCCTTGTTTAAAAAGCAGAGCGCTCCCAGGGCAGAAACATACCTTATATCTGACCTAAATCTTACTCTTCTGGGAAAGGATTGTTTATCTTCCCCCAAATTAAGAAGGTGGTGCAGCAGGCAGGGTGCTAATTCTGGTTTCCCTGCCGCCAGCTCCCTCTGGGGTTGGTTTTGAGCAAGTCCCGTAATCGCTCAGCTGGAATAGGGGCTGTTGACACGCTCCCTTCCCAGCGCTTGGTGATGTTTGCAGAGCAGGCTGGAAGAGGAATGCTTGGAGCTTTTATCGTTAGGATTCATATCCCCAAAGTAGCTCCTGATAACCATAAAGCTGGACTTCAAATTCATCGACACCCTGGAAAACCCCGTGCCTTTGTGTTTCTTGAATAGGTGTTGCTGTCTGGGAGCGGGGATCGGCTTAAATCATCAAAGTGCTTTGGTGGAAAGCGGGAGTAATGCAGAGCTGTTAAATCGATGGTCTTCGGCCAACAGTAGGATTAATTTTCAAATGGCGGAACCTTGTGCAAAGCCGATGTGCCAGAAGGTGCTGCTGTAGGGAAGGAGGGTCTCCATAGCTTTTCTGCAGGTTACAGGGGCAGGAGTTGCCATCAAATATTCCAGAAAGTGGTCTTGTCCAAAATGCCTTCAGCAAAAATTAGTCTGCCCCCTCTTCTGCTGGGAAGCTTGAGATAGTTTTGCTGTGAACCATACGGAAAAGCAATAACAGGAATACTCGCCGGCCGGCGTCTCGCCCGGCTGTGTTAGCCCTTGCTCGTACGTGCCTCATTTCCAGCCTCTTCCCTGAAGCGGAAGGTGGTTTTGCTGAACTTGCTCACTGATTTATTTTCTTTTAATTGTGATTTTTGCAGTCCGTGGTGCTCTCTGACTCCCAAGCAGCTCAGTAACAAGGGCCAAAGAGTTTGTGTGCTCTACCTCGGAGCTGGCATTTCTGGGGGAGCAGGAGGGCACGGCTCTGGCCAAAGGGCTGGGCTCAGGAGAGGGGTGGTGGGGGAAGAAATACAGCCGGGAGTCAGGAGCAGGTGCTGGAAACTTCTTGCTCACTGTCCTTTTTGTCTTCAGAGTTTCCACCCTTTAGTCCTACCATCTGCCTACTGGTCCGTGGGCTGTCTCCATCCTCTGCTGCTGAAGACATCGCGCATCTGAGTCTCATTTATTTGACTCAGAGTTTTTTTTTATTTACTTCCAATGTTTTTCAGTGGAGAGAGTAACTCTTCGTCAGTCAAGATGTATTTGTGTTTCCGTGCACATTTAGACAGGGTTTTGTTTGTCGGTGCTCTTGTGACCACTGATCTTTGGTCAAGGTCTGTTGTGCTGACGAGACACGAAGGAAAACGGGTTTCTTCCCAGCCCTGGTGAGTTGTGCTGGTTTTGGATTGAAGCTCCCAAACAACTAGTTGCCGTGAAGCACGTCTCTTCCTGGAATTGCTGGGATAAGCCCCAAACGGTGGATCCAGAGTCTCAGTGAGGTCAGCGCTCGTCTGCTGACATGAACAGACCCGTGCTCACCGACCTCCAAGCGATGGAGGTGGAACCCAAACCCCATCCTCTTCGGTATGTTCTCTTCTCCTCACCTCTGGTGAGCGCCTCGTCTGCTCACCTCTGCAGAAGGCAGAGGAGTTGCTTGTTTTGGGGTTTTTCTTTCTTTTTATTGATTTCTACATGTCATGCCTGGCCTCAGCTCTCTTCTGGGTACTTAGAAAATGCTGGTAACCTTGTGCGTGGAAACCTGTTCTTAATTCTGCCCCGGCCTCTTGGATTAAAAAAATTGCTTTATTTCTCCGTGGCTAGGTACGCTGACCTCCTCACAAAGCACTTGGCAGTTTGCTGGTGAAGAGAGATTGAGGAAGGGTTTACTGTTTCTGCAAAGCAGCGAGAAGTGTCTAGATAACGTTACAGAGATTGCGTCTCCTCTGCCTTTCCCTGGGCCTTTTCCCAACGCGTCACCCACTTGCCGGCGTGGGCACGTCAGCGGTATCCAGTGACTTTCAGGAGTGTCCCGTCCTGCGCCTCCATCAACAGGCTCGTAAAACAAGTGAAGGGGAGAGGGAGGAAGGTGTGCTAATCCGGGGCAGTAAAATCAGTCATGCATACATCAGCTGCCGACTGCGAAGGGTGGTGGGAAAGATAACCCCAAACAGGAATCTACAATGTGCGAGAGCTCTTTATCTAGAAACTGAATTCATGAGCTCTCTTATGGCAGCTTTGATGCCATTGGTTTAATGTCCTTAACATAATTTATCGGAACAAATCTATTGATGCAGAGAATTTCAAAATTATTACTCACTGTTTGGCCTTCTGGCCAAGATCAAGTGTTTGTAAGTGTTTTATCTTCCTCTGGAGGGCCGTGTTCTGCGCTGGCAGGGGCGGGCTGCGTGATCTCATGGGTTTTCTTCCATCCCCAGCTGCTGTGATTAAGAGCGTTGGCTTTGACTCTTAGTTCAGGCCGGACTTCTGCAGTTTTCCATAAGAGCTTCCTGAGAGAAGCAAATGAAATATTTAGGCTCTTATCTTCCAGAGCTGTGGAAGAGGTTTTTATTGTGTGCAACCAAGGTGCCTTGCTCAGAAGTGTTTTGCTTGTGAAGTTTGGACCTTTGTTTTCTTAACTAGTGGAAATAAGATTTCTTTTCGTGTTTCTTTAACTTTCTTGGGGAAAATATCTCTTGTTTCTTCAAGCAGCAGAAGTATCAGTTCACTGCAACAACTCTATAACCTTTTTGTTTTTCCTCATATAGATTTCAGCTTTTTGTGCTGCTCGGTGATGTCGTTTCGAAGAGGTAGATGTATTGCATATATGTGCTTAAAAAAAAAAAGCATGGTTTCCTCCTCTCCAGTAACCAGCAGCAAAATGCCATATTACGTAACTGTCTTGGCTTTTGAGGATTGACAAAACTTGGTGGGTTTTTTCCCCTAAATAAGCTGCTACTGCTCTCAACAAAAGCTGCTGTTCCATTGAAGCGTGTTGTGTAAGCGCTCTCCTGACATCTAAACAGCTCTCCGCATCGCTGTGTGCACCAGCAGGATTGTTCCAGCGGGGCTTTTCTGCTTTGGTTTCTGCCTGGTTTGCACTTTGAAGAAAAGAAATCTCGCTGCTATTCCCGTTTGCGGCCGTGGCCTTGGACTGGGGGGGACTGATCCCAACAGACTTTTTTTGGGGGGGATTTGCAGGCAGAGGAAAAAAATGTGTTGGGGGATTTCTGTGCGGACAGCGGCTTGGATGTGTCCACGGAGGCTCCAACGTGCTACGCGTCCTCCGGGTAGTGTTTGGTGGGTCTAAGGCTTGGTCTCACGACCGACTTCTGCGTGCGCAGAAGTGCTCTTATCGATGGTGCCACCACCTGCAGGCAGAGCCCAGGTGAGGAAGGGGCATGTTCCCATTTTTGAGCGTTAAGAGGACCCGTGTGGGGAAGAGCCAGCTGCCTCTCATGCCCCGGCCGCTTGTTTGGCTGAGATAAAGCCCGCAGTCAGCAGCAGGACCGGGGAGGAAGGGCAGTGCATGCTGGTGTGGTGTGTCCTGGCGCTCGGCTTGCCCTGCTCAGACGCTGGAGAGTTGAGCTTGATGATGTGTTTGGGTGTGCTAATGTTTTAACTTTTTATTTTCATCTAAAACGTGAGGCGTGGCTAAAATCTGTCTGAGCAGCTCTGTTTATAAAAATAGAGCAAAGTGAGTATTCGTCCTGGCTATACCAAATTAGCACGCTCGTTTGCTAGACGAGTGAGGATCTGACCCGAGCGCCTTGTTACGTGCTCCTTCCAGTGAAATACTTGTCTCAACCATTTGACCAGGTGCCATCGCCACAACTTTTTAGCTTTTTCCCCCTAGCATTTAGTTCACAGTCAGTAAGAGTATACTGTCTGTTGCTGGCTGAAAATAATCCCGGACAGCTAAGGCTGGCGGAAGGCAGACAGCTATTTATTTAGGTTGATTCAGGTTCCAGTAAACAGCTCTGAGGAATGCTCTGAAATCACCCGTAGGGATTGCTCCCAGAGTCACGAAAGAAAGAAAAAAGGAAAGGTTTTGGGGCATCATGAATTCATTTTTGGACAGGACTTTCTAACCCTGATCTGTTTTCTTTGGCCAGAATTAACTGTTTAGGTCTCTCCAGCCACTTTTTTCGGTTGTCTATCTGGGTAAAAATTATGACTGATGAATTCTTTCATTTTAGAGGTGTTTAAACAGATCTAGAAATAGCAGCTTTTCTGAAATTATTGCATTTTGTTAAGTATATGCCATTGAATTTAACACCTTCACTTCTCCAAGCGGAGTGTGTGTGGCACAGACAAACAAACTGCCTTTACATAGCAATGAAAAAGGGTGGAGGTAGCCAAAACGTTTTCATATGGAAACCTCTTGGGTTTGTTCTCTGACCTCAGCCGGTAATGCTTTTGGTAATCGAGAGAGCTTGTTTTTGCAGGACATGCGATAGACCTGTACGTAGCTTCAGTCCAGCCTCAGAGCTGAGCAGACCCCGTCAGCTGCGTGTTCATCCTTGCACTCAGAATAAGTGAATAAGTGGGTTTTTTTAATCATGGTTAAACAGGAATTACCTATTTCCCAATCGGCAGCAAACTTGTTTGGAAACTAGCAGGAGGGAGGGAGGGGAGCTTCCTGCTGCGGAAACTGAGTGTGCTGGGACCGGAGCGATGCTGCGACCGCACCGATGCTCTGATCGCACGCTGCGGCTTTCCCTCGTTGACTCACCCTTTCTTGTAACTGGCCTGATTGGGAGGATCGTTGTTGTCGCTTCCCAAGTCACTATGTGAAAGGGTGAGCCGAGGCACCGCGGTCTTGGGGCGGTGGGGGGATAGGAGAAGGTGAAGCTGATGCTCTGGTCTGTGCTGAGATGCTGTACATCTTCCTTAAAATCACGGTGAAACCTCCAAGATAAAGATGCCCCATGGTATGGCAGGGGACAAACCAGATGTGCTTTGGGACGCTAGCTCTTCCAACCAAGGCTCGTTGTATATTCTTGCTTTCAATGTTTGTTGCGTGTGATTAAGGCAGCAGAGAGAAGATACGCTGCTGGGTCCTCTGGCAAGAGAGCTTTAGTTAAATCCTAGTGGAATATGGTTTTGCACAGATGATTAAATATTAACACAGTGAATCTCCAAGGTGATGAGGCTGGCGGTGCTGCTTCAGGATTGCTTAAATCATGGGGCTTTTAGAGGTTTTGATTTACATAATTACAGATACTTGCTTAAAAAAAACCCTCAATTGCTATTGAACAGGTGTCACACTGTGATGCCCGGGATGTTTCCTCCATCCCTGTGTCGTGATGGATCTTGGCGGGTTCAAAAGCCTTGTGGCAAGGTGATGGAGTCAAGCTTCATTGGTTTCATTGTAAGGCACTAAGTCACAGGAGCTTCCTTCCGGCTGGAGATGCTCCCTCTTCCCCTCGCTACCGGCCCAGATTTGGGAAGGGATGCGAGAGAGTCTTTTTGTAAAGGTCTTTTCCAAGCTAAATGATTCTCTGACTCTATTGTAGATGTGGCACTTGGGGACATGGTTTAGTGGGACTTGGCAGTGTTAGGTTCACGGTTGGACTTGATCTTTTTTTTTTTTGAGGTCTTTTCCAACCTAAATGATTCCTTGAGAGGTGAAGCGGGGTGGCCGGTTCCAAAGAGCCCCAAGTGTGCCGGGGGGAGGAGGAGGAGGAGGAGAGCCAGCTGTGAGAAACTTCAACTGCAAAAATTAGAGCTTGTCGGGACAAACTTTCTTGTCTTTAAAGGGGGATGAGAGGGGGTGGGAAGGCAGTTGGAGCCAGTTGTTCTGTGCTCGCTTTGTTTAGCAAAAAGCATTTGTCACAGATTTTTTTTTTTCTTGTTTGCTTGTTTAATATGTATTGAAATGAGAACTTTGATCATTCGATAAGGGGATCAGAAGGCTGCTGGATTTTGCTGTTAAGTACCTCTGTTCCTTCTGCTGAAATGCAGTTTTTGTAGAGCTGTAGTGCTTGCTGAAATCACAGCGTGAGTCTTTACACTGCCTGTAACAGGCGAGCAGAAGGGGCTTCTCCGCTGAGCGAGCGGTGGGTGGACCCAGAACCACTGTAGGGATTATATGTTGTAATGCTTAATCTGGTAAAACAATTACTGGATGTCGGGGGAAGCAACCCTGTGCTTACTCCATGGTACGATGGGGGTGTTGCTTTTGGGTGGGGGTGGTTCTATAAGGCTGTGGTTATGGCTCCCATGTAAAAAAATCTGTTGCTGTGTCTAAAGTAGAAAGAAAAACAAAATGAAAGTGCTTGTCTGGTTTTCTGGGCTGGAGGCAGAAGGCACATCGCTATTTTATGCATCTGCCTGGTAGGGGCAGCGTCCCTGTCATGGGAGCTCTTGGCCTCACCAGTGTTGGTCTCAACCTGGCTGGTGGCTTTGTGGTGTAGACAGACATCGCAGAGGGGCAGTGTCATCTAATTGCTTTTTTTTTTTCCTTACTGCATCCAAAAAAACCCAAGATGGAAATCCAGGCCTAAAAGATAAAAGTTAGTACGTCACCTCGCAGTTATTTAGCACCATGGTAGTAAGAAAATCCCTGGGCTTGGCTTCAAGTGGAAGGGTTGATGTTCTGGGCCTTTTAATAAAAGGTCCTGGAAATAATTTTAAGATAAAGTGTGGTCAGCGTATCTACTGAAACACTGCAGAGCACTTGGCCCTCTCAGTTCTAATTAATAGATGGCAGTAATCCTGCAAAGCCGTGTAACTCCGTTGAAGGCAGGGAAGTTGCTGATACCATCTCTGAAGGTGGTCCTGGTCCTGCGTGTTGGTGTGCAGGCAGCGGAGTGCTGGAAGCCAGCTGAGCAGGGCAGAGCAGACCCTAGCCGGTAGCACCGACACAAAACCGAGTTTGGCTAGTGAGCAGTAAGCAGAATAGCATTTCCTTGTGGCTTGGTTTCCTTCTTCCTCTGCTGTAAGAGGAGAAGCTGGGAAGAAATCAGCCGTGAGTCAGTGCTTTTTCAGATGCCTTAAAACGTTTGTTCGAACCAAGGCGGTGTGTCAGGCTTTTTTGTGATGCATAATAATGATTAACCCTTTCTGAGTGTGGCTTTATTCTTTTGACAGGATCATCTACTTTCAAAAAATCACTCACCCCTGAGGTAAGTTTCTGACCGACAACCTGGTTTGTTCCGTGGCTGTGAGAGAATGCCCAATTTCAGACTTGTCTGCTATTTTTCCAGTCTCATTCAAGTTAGGAGTAAACCAGGCGGTGGTAGGTACGGTAAGCTGCAGGTACTCATTTGAGAATGAGTAAGGAGCATTTCTCCTTACCAAGGGAATCTCTGCTTAAAAACCTAGCTTGTCCTGGAACTGAGCAATTCTTGTGCCACCAAAGCACCACATAGATCTCCTGCCGCGAGCAAGACGTTCAACTCGTTTTGACTGAGAAACACCATTTAACAACTGCGTGTGTTAGAAGATGATGAGTCAAGCGCGCTCTTGTGGCATGAATCAGAGGAGAATTTGCCACCTTCCTAAAATGTTTCCTCAAAGACTTGGCCTTACTGGCAGAAAGCATGGTGACCAGCTGCGGTGGGTCCAGATGTGCTTAGAGCTGATCTGTTTGTGATGAGGGTGATTAGAAAAAAGCACACTCTTCCAGGTGGTCTTGCATGAAGGTGTTTCTCTCTAATTATATGTCCGGCCTCAATCACACAGGAGTCAATGGGTTCTTTGAAGGCATTTCAATGCCACTGCTGTCCTGGAGGCCAGCCTGTACCGTGTCCTCCCTTTGCACGTGTGCAGGGACCTGGGGCTTCAGCGTTTCACAGGCTCCATCTCTGAGAATAGCAAAATTATGCCAGGTGGTTCTGGGCAGCCACCAGCCTCTAAGACATTGGGTTTTACACCCTTGGTTCTTACCATCTTTTACTCCAATCCTAGATGCCAGGTTCTTCTGGGCAGCCAGGCTCACAGACAATAAAGAAAGGGCACAGAGGAGTGGACTCCACGGGCGAGACTACCTATAAAAAGGTAAGTTGCCCCTTGCACAACTCATTTGACTGTTGTCATTCTCCTCTGCGATGCAAGTGCTGCCCAGAGCAGCAGTGTGTCTCACGAGGTTCGGCGTTGGACAGCGGATAACGTCTGTGACAGTCGCTGAAGAAGATCTCAAAGGAAAGGAACCAAAGGACTGAATATGTGCTTCTTGGCTTCCCCTCTGCAGCCTTCTAAAGAAGGGATTATTTTTAAACTTTGCCCATTAGCAACACTTCCTAGGCCTCTTCTGGCTTACTGGGTGCTTTCTGTGCTCTTTGGGCACAATAGTTTCTATAGATCTTGTGGCATTACTGGAATTTGCTTTACAAAGGGGAGATTGTTTGGGTATTTGTAAAAAAGCCTGTAAATGTGGGTATTTTGTGGATGCTGCTTCCAGTTTGTTGGACTTCCGTCGGAACGGGCTGACTTTCTCTGAAGTGAGGTTGACTTCTAGGCTGTAGGTTGAATGGGTAATGGCTTGATATGGGCATTTCACTGTTTTGTGTAAGCGAAGCTTCTGGTCTGAAATATCTAATCCAGATGTACCTCTTTCTGTCTGTCAGGAATCGCCGTGGAAGGGAGGAATTCAAATGGTATTTCTACAGAAGCTGGCTTTTGTTATAATGCCCTTTTTGAAATTGCTTGTGTCTTCAAGACTGGGATGCAGCTTTCAGTTTCCCAGCAAATTCAGAGATAGAAGGTTAGACAGCAGTAATAGGAGAGAAAAGTAGAAGTCAATGGAAAATGCCTGAACTGTTTCTTGCAAGGGTCCCAGAAACCTGGTGGGACACTGCATGGGATTTATCTGGGAATGAGACTAATGGACAGTCTGTCTGTTTTCCATCCCCTCCTTTTCCAGGGGTGGTAAGTTGTTTTTTAAAATTCTTTGCCCTATAAAAGTGATTGTAAACAGGCAGTCAGCTGCTCAGCTGATCGTGCTGGCTAATAGAAGAGAAAAATACTTGTTCCTTGGCAACCTGGCCCTGTGGCTCTGTGTTCACAAACAAGGCAGCATTGCTACACCGTGTTGATAAGTTCTGCTTCTCAACAGTGAGACTGTCCTGGGAGTTTAAGCAGGACTAGGTGAGCTGAGCCGAGATCTGTTTTCAAGCAACTTTAGCCTTTAGAGGGTAAGGAAGGAAAGAGGAGTCCAGTTCTTCCTCCTTCCCCATCTAATACCGCAGCAGAAATCAGATACAAACAGGTAGCTGCGGTAGAAAAGGACATTGTTGACAAGCTGGAGTTACTGCCAGTTTTTGTTGCTCTCTCTTTGGGGAACAGTGAGCAGGTCTCTCGCAGCTATGATAACAGAAAAACAGTTAAGTGGGAGAAATGTTCCTGGTCATTTTACCAGGCTTCACGGAGGATGTGTGTCTGGGGAAAAAGCTTGAAATGTTTGTCCCCCAGGTACTGCAGTGTTCTGTTGCCAAATGCTTTGATCTACAGTGATTTCTGGCATGCGGCAGGGGGCTGGGCTTTGTTTAGCTTAAGGAAACAAACACAAACTAGTTGGATCGTGAGCCCTGGATCTTGTCCTGGGTCCAGTTGCTTTATGTATAAGCCAAGTGAAATGTCCGTGAGCTGCAGTGCACAAATCCAACCTGCACCTGCTCTGCAGCCTCAACGTTTCCAGCAGGCTTTACAGCAGAGTTGGTATCTCCGGGCTCCGGGAACTGACAGGGCATATAACATCGGGGTGTTGAGCAGATCTCATCTGGGCTGTTCTGGGAAAGACAGCCCATAGCACGAGCTAGACTGGAGCACGTCTCAGTGGTCTGAGATGAGATCATGTGTTTCATAGGCAGAAGAGGACTCTTGATGTGAGTAGCTGTTACAAGAACACAGTCCTACATTGTTCTTGGACAGTTTGTGCAGAGGATGCAGGAGTGGGATTCGTGTCTTTGCTCCTTATTTAAAAATGACAGTGAACTCCTTAGGGTTAAAGAGCCATGACCTGGCAAGAGAGGCAGATGGAGGAATGCGGTAGCACCAGACAGAAGTGTGCGTTGTGTGCTGGCCGTGTCTGCCTTGTCCTGTAGAAGAGCCAAGTCTGTGCCCAAGCTGGGGAAGGGCAAGCTTCAAAGTATATAGTTCCAAGACCTGGCAGACCAAGGTGTCAAGAAGTGTGTTTATTCACAGGGGCGCGAGATAGGCTGTCCCTGGCTATCTTCCCCCTCTGACTGCGGGATGTAGGATGAGTGCTGTGGGAGGATGATAGGAAATTCAGTCTTTTAAGGACCAGCTGGGTGTTGATTCCAATTCAAGCCTTTTACTGCTCAACCACCCAGAGTGCAAGGATCGAGTAGGATGCTATTGGGGATGTTCCCAGGTGTTCCCATCACCAAAGCAATGTTAGTCAATGAGAAAGAAGTGCCGGAAGCTGGAACCAGTAGGTGTAAAACACCCCGGCTAACAATGCTTGTTTGAACTTGGGGCTCTCTTTAACTCCTTTCGCTCCTATTTCCAGTCTGCTGCTCCACATTGCCTAACTCATTTTCTCTGCCCCTCCAGACGACGTCATCTGCCTTGAAAGGTGCCATTCAGCTGGGCATTACACACACAGTTGGAAGCTTGAGCACTAAACCCGAAAGAGATGTTCTCATGCAAGATTTCTACGTAGTAGAAAGTATTTTCTTCCCAAGGTCAGTGCTTACTTTCTTCTCTCTCTGGTGCTTTGATAGTGAGTAGCAGCATTAGTTCCTAACCCTGCTTGTACATGAGGAAGCAGCACCAAACCAGGACAGTTGACCGCAGGAGCGAGCACAGGTCTCCTGAGCAGAGCTACTCAATGCACTGCTTACAGACCAACTCTGGCTCCTGCCTGCGACCTGTTTCTGAAGAACCCTGGCTCTTCCCTATATATGTCCACCACCAGTCATGTGAACAAATGCAGGCTTGCTCTTGTGTGTGCCTACATGTGTCCCTTTTGGGTGGGTGCTTTCTAGCCTTCCAGTGTGTTAGAAGCAGCCAGCCAGTGGGTGTTTGCTTTTAGGGCAGTTTCATAAGAAATGTTTCAAATACAAATACTTGTGTGTGCTTCTCTCCTCGATCAGTGAAGGGAGTAACCTCACCCCAGCTCATCACTACAACGACTTTCGGTTCAAAACCTATGCTCCAGTGGCATTTCGCTATTTCCGGGAGCTGTTTGGGATCCGACCAGACGACTATCTGGTGAGTTGGTGGTTGGACCGGGTTCCCGTTTGTTGTGTACTCTGTGTGATGGGTGTTTGTCCTCTTCCCCCTCTCAGAGCTATGGAGCACCGTGAGGCCCTGTGGTAAGCTCTGTAAGCACAGCAGTGGGTGCTCTCTGTGACCCTGGCGTTTGCCTCTGTTAATGTTTAAAAGGAAGAG